ACACCTCGAATATCGTGGCAACTGAAACATGAGACGGCCTGGTGCAGCACATTCAGTTGCCTGAGAAAATCACAAGCGAGAGATTCAGCTGGGTTCCAGGCAAGTCTCTCGGAAAACCAAAGTAGTTTGCAAATGATTGTATACTAACAAAATGAGTTGTTTGCTGCGGAGAAATACTAGGAGATAGGGGCATGATGGAGAACTTCAAAGTGGATAACTTTTCACAATGATTCACAGCGAGAACACCCCAAAGAATGCGTAATTTATTCCGACCAGGTAGCGTTTTACGTATTCTACTCTGTCATACTACTGTGTTTCGAGACGAGGCTTTTTCTCGTTCGGAAATTGAGTGACATTGAGAATCATCGTGTGCCATACCACGTGGGATTTTGAAAGTCCCATCAAATTTGAATAAGCTTATTCTAATCGTATTCTGATGTTTAGCTGAGCATGTGACCTTCACGTGCGGGGCAGTTCCTCGCCAGTCCACTTTGAGAATGGTCATTATATAAAAGGCTGATGAATTTCGAGAAAGTGAACTTGTTATTCATCTCAGAGAAGATGAAATTATTCAGCCTGTTAGTGTGTAGTGTGACCCTTTTGGCGGCCGAATTTGCGGACGCCGTGACTTTCAGAGATTGCGGTAAGGCTGGAACATGGATATTTGAGGATAACAATGAAATAGTTCTGTGCAACTAGATTTGATCATTATTGGTTCTCAGTAAGACTTGGCTGTCCAGTAACCACATGGATTTTCACAGGGAAAACCTGGGTTAGGACTCAGATCAATTGGCTCGTGAGATTTGAAACAAACACCAGAGGATATTGCAAGAGGGAAATCTTGAAACTACTTTTTGGGTAAGGAAAATTCGTATTTTTAAGAAGTCGGAAACAGAATACATTCGGTTACCCTCGGAACACGTGACACCCAACTGGTATATCGAGTTATCTCACGGGAATCACCTCCATGCAACACACCGGCATTTACGGGCAAACGAAAATTTTGGAAATGAGTTAACATTTCCACTGGCCAACCATATGATCGGCAGGACGATTTGAGGCGTCTTACTCCTCGACGGGAGAGTGCAGTATCCACGTCTGGAACGAGTGTGTATCCCCCCTGATCACTAAATGTGTACAGTATACTGCATTATTATCGTGTGGAAGTGATTGCGAAGTTATGTTGTTCACCTCGGCACAATGGTGATGGTTGAAGACACTGTTTAAACTCAAAGTAGTGTTACTCTAGTTGTCTAGCACCGAGGGGTGGATCAGGCGGACCACGGATATCTGGCATTTGTTGGCGATTTTTCTTGTCAAACCGTAGAATAGCTTCACTGGCCTGTCGACCCAGACTTGTACGCAATTCCATTAACCTCTATGCGCTTTATCCCAATCATTCTCCAATCAGGCTCAGAAGGTGCTCGGGTGACCGCAGTGGAGATTACTCCGTGCGAAAGTGAGCCCTGCATTCTCAGAAGAGGAGTAGATTACGTCGCCCGCATTACATTCACAGCATGTGAGTACCCAATAAAGCTTTATTGTTTCACATCATTTCTCTTGACGCTTTCCTAGAGGCTGAGGTTTTGGAATTGTAACTCAATGATCGATTGTTTGGATTTTGTTTTTTCTTCAATTTGCTTTTTAATCCACGAAAACCAGCAAACCATTTCTGTCAGAACACAGGATCACCTCGTTTATACATCATACTCTAAAGTTCACATCACGTGGTGGTCATATATCAACTGGCCCCTAGAATGAGGACTTCTCAGACAATAGCTTCACTGGTCACGTGACTCGATCTTCCTTCTACAAATAAGGTTTGCTTACAAGTTCTGAAATTTCTTCCTTAATTCTTTCAACAGCGACAAACGTCAATGTTCAAGGTTTCAGATCTCAAGGAACAGTCGGTTTCCGGCCGATGATAGTACCATTACCGCCAAACGGTTTATGTACCTTCGTGTCTCCACAATGTCCTATTGAAGCGGGAGGAAGCTACACTTACAGTTACACAGGCTCGGTGCCTCTGGACTATCCACCGGTGAGTCGAAAGGAGAAGGTTCTACTTTTATGTGTCGCCCACTTATGTGTTAAACTCCATATATTTGACCTGACCGGAACATAACTGCGTGGTTCATATCCGAAGCGTAAATCCTTCCACGACACTTGTTTGTGCAGGTGGAAGTTTTGTGATACATGGCAGAATTAACGACCGTCCGTTTTTAGAAGGTACATTTGTTGTCGTCTCCTCGTTTGTTTTCTCTCCCTAGTGTTTTGAGTGCACCTCAGGTGAACTGCAGTATATTCACCTTCTCACGACATTGGTAATAATTAAAATGTTGTCTTTGGAGTCAAACCCATGAATCGGTTAGGGTATTCAAATGAACTCTACTACTCTTTGGTGAAGTTTCGAACAGAAAACGCACTTTTATGTAATCGTGCAGGCATTCTGCTACTGTGCCGAAGCGGTATGTTATATAGGCAGGCTTATTACCCTGTGGGAACCGAATTTGTGCTGAGGAGTCCAGGCCGGTTGACAGCAAATCAGAGCGATTGGACCGCTGATTGTGTTGTGGTGCGACTACGAACAAAATGCCTATCCCGCAAAACCCCAAGATCGTGTTGTAGCCGAGTCTACCCTCATGGCAAACTCATAAATTCCAAGATCTGTTTGGCAATTTTCAGCTATCAAGATATGTACATTCTGTTGCTAAGATGCATTCCCAACTTGAAATCGACCTGATTTATTGTGTTTGGGTTTACTTAGACTAGCTGTTCTCCCTCTGTCAGTAGAGTGAATGTCTTTTGTGTTGTACCCAATAATTACTCGTTTTCGTATGATGAATTGCGTTGAAGCAAATTGCACTTGATTGTATTGTTCAACCGTGCCACTATCTGAGTCCCAATCTCCTTCTTACAGGGTCCGGAGACTTTCCGATGGAAGATATTATACGGAAGCGGTGAACCGTTCGTGTGTATCGAAATCCCGGTGCGAGTTGAATAGGCTCTTCGGAAGTTTGGAAGGTGTAACTCGACTCGATCGAATACATACTGATGTCCTATGAGTTTTTCTTCTTTATGGATCAATAACGCACGAAAACTGGAAGTACCAATACCCTCCTCAGTCACGGTCGCAGAGGCTTGAGGCAGCAGATATATGTTCTGGAATCCTCTCACCCGAAAAATAGCGCCCCGCAAAAAACATAACCATTAGCACAAAGTAGTAAATTAGGTGATGGCCATGGGATGGAATCAGCTTGTGAAATACGTTGAACTGAAATTCCATAGAAGTTACATATTACTCACAACTTTGCCGAAAACACTCGAACAGTGCACGACCAGTTTTGCTCACTCCTTGGGGTCCATCAGACGGGGATTCAGTCAACCCAAATTGATTTGTAAATGAGTGTATTTCACTGAAAGAGTCCGATTTGGTTTCAAGTAGAACATAAGGTTGACGGAAACTCGGGGACTGCGCCTACCTGATGAGCCCAAAGTGGAAGGGCGAAACCGGTCGTGCGCTGTTGAATAGTTTTCAGAAACCTTCTGAGTAGTTTCCTTCATGAAAATCCTATGTTCCACTTGAAACCAAATTTCTTGCACATTGGTTTTTCCAAAACTCGGGGCCGCACACATATGATGAGCCTCAGGATGTGAGGAAATGGTAGTGAGCGGTCGAAGAGCACTCGAGGAGCCTGCGCGTAGTGCATCACGTTTGAAACATGAGGCGTCCTGGTGCACTCAACATTTTGCTTGAGGACATCCAAAGCGAGAGACTCAACTGGATTGTGGGTGAGTCCCCGGCTTGCCATGCGAGAGTATTTCGACCTGACTGAGATAAACTAATGGGCGGAGTGTATTCACGAGTCACTCGTGATATGCCTTTTTTAAGAATAAATAAATGCTTCACAAACACATAGGGTTGGCTGAAATGGGAATATCTTCTTACAACTTATTCATCGAGGTTTGCTGGGTATCACTTCTATGTGGCAATACGCATAGAATATACAGGTACAATGTTTTGAATCCTTTCCGGCGTCTTCACAGTATGAGCACTTTTGGAATTCACACTCCGATTAACCTTGAATGTATAAAAAACAGCCTGTAATTTAAAATTAATAATGCTCCAAATTGAAATCCACGCACACGAAGTTAGAACGAATCAGCTTCCAAGAAATGGACAGTCACAAGATAAGTAAAAAATGAACACATTCCATCAAAATCATGAGTGTGTTGGTGTTTGTAGTGTTTGGATGTCCAAAATAGATGCAGAAATCGATGCTACACGGAGGAATGCTCACTGAGATTGCGTTGGCGCTGATCGTACTTGTGTACCAGAGGACTAAAACAGAATATGAAGCATTTTTGAAACCATGAGAAGATTTTTAAAGCTGTAGTGGAGATGGCAGCTTGGATTGAAACCCGGAGAGGCACTGTACAGCTGTTTCTTCCTCAGTATCAGTGCGCATCTTATGAACCTTGAAGGAGTACCGAGGGTTCGACACGAGTTCTCTATACAACCACGCGCGAAGTGACGAATGATGCGGATTTTAGCGGAATATTTTACACTCAAAATTACACCGTCTTTGTTAGACTTCAAGCGTGGTCACGACACGGCACATAACCACTATCATTTATTTTTGAAGAGCATGGTCACAAACATAAAAAGTGAATGCAAGCGATGAATTCGAAAGAGTAACAGGAGAATATGGGAGAAAAGAGAGAAACGTCTCATTCGAAATCATGCCAAGGACAGTGCCAGTCTGATGAGGTGAATCCCAAAGTATGTAAAGATTTTGGTGTAGGAACAGGCGTCTAAAGACTAACAACCAAAGAAAGGACAAACAATGGTGAATGCTCTTCAAGGCGCAGTATGCGCTAGCACAGTCAAGACTCGCACATCAGGCACAAAGTGACCGTCACACTGGGTCTGGTGTGAGATTAAATGGCAAAAACGTACCTTCAACGCCATGTGCCACGCATAAAAGTGTCATAAGTACGCAGGGAGCCCACAATGGCAAGCAAACACAAGTCACTGACTGCGACCTTAGGAAGTCCCAGTCCAATAACAGCCTTAGCGGATTGAGGAAAGCAGATCCCTCGATAGGAGATGATCACCGGTTGGTGAACCAAAAAGTCGATATCACAACCGATGGCATGTAGGGCTGAGATTATGGCGAGGGAATGTTCATCAGCACCATACTTCTGCTTCTTCTCATTCCACACTATCTCTCCACGCCCATCCGAGACTATGCTAACGTCTATTACGGTTGCACGGCGATCTCGAACAGCGATTAGGTCAGGTTTGATGAACGACGTAGAAGTAGGGGTTCTCAACTCCTCGAAGACGATGCACCCCAGTCGACGGAGACGTTTTGCAAGTTCCCTTGCAACCCGATTATGACGAGCACACCTGGCATCATGCGTGATCCAGCAGGATTGCAAAATATGCACCAAACTCTCCGGGAAGGTGATACAACAACTTATCACATACTAAAGGCGATGAACACGAAAATCAGCTCATGTCCGAGACCCGCGAGAAAAGTAGACAAAAAGCCACAATCTCCGGTGATTCGGCAGTTCCCCATCCTTTTCCTTGTCTGCTAGAGGCTTTTTCCTCAGTAAGCGAATACTAGATATTGAGTCGGATTTGCCTGGGCAACAGTTTGGGCTTGTCAGGTCTACCATCAGCGACGTTCTCCACCGCCAACCATTGTTTGAGAAGAATTTGTGAAAGCCGCAACTTGTTGATACAAAATAGGAGCGACCACAGCCAGTGCTGTGCGATATGAGCGCGTTGTTCGATGTGGTCCATATGTTTGGAAGACTTACAGGACATCACACGTGGTGATCCCAGTGTCACTTCTTTGGCGGACTGCCAGCATAGTGCTTGTTTGTAGTTGAGTGGTGAACCTGTGTTGAGGGTTGTTCACAAAGGAAGTTTGCCCATTGATTTCAGTGAAGTCTTGGTCCATGGACATGCGTGGTTTACAAAAGACATTGCGTCTATACTATTGGTGGAGTATTGCTCAGTAGTGATATCTAGATATGTTTATTTCACCGGATGTTCATCTGACTGCTGATGGTTTCATCTCGAGATTAGAGCCCACAATTCCCCTTCCTTCCGACTGTCCACTGGGGGCTTCTTCCTCTTTGGTTGTGTGGCAGTTGACCACATCAATCCTGCTATATACGTTACAGTCGTACGGCAACGTTTATTGGTTACACTGTCATTGCCTCGTTGGTAGCAGGCCTGTCTATCATGGTAGACGCCATCGCCTGAGCTATATGCTCTGCATTCCATTCTCACGAGTATGATATATTTTGTGGGCCTCAGTTCCACCTAATCATCAATGCAGAAACTCAGAACAAATTTCCGCTATTCTCTGAATCGACGACAATCGGCGATTATTTGTTTGGCTACTAATGAGTAGCATGACTTAAATCGGTTTATCATAACTCCGTTTTACTTTCTTTCCACACACCCTTAGTTTCACTCCCGCTTAAGGCCTGCTTGGCCTCTAGTTAATAGTATCCAGATCATGTTGCCAGTACATCCTTGCTTGTGATTTCGTGTCAACTCTGCCCATTTTCGAATATCTGCACTAAGGAAGAACTGGGTCACCCGTGAATCGTTTCCGAATCCCCTCGGATGATTGTGCTTGTTGGGACTAAGCGCGGAATCCGATTTGAAACGTGTTGCCTCATCACAGTGACAATTGACAGACGGGCAAACTACTTCTGGGCAGAAATTAACCAACACGGCGCAGGATAATGTGACACTAGACCACTATCTTTAAGAGAGTCGTAGAAATTTAAGGGAAGACTGGTCAGAAATCCTTGTATCTGGCACTCGAAATAAGCTGTTTTAGGTAGCTGGTGAAAGAGGGCAGTTTCAGTCACAGTCCGGGTTATTTCGCACTCTGATAGGATTTGTTGTCACCTCTATTCATCCCTGAAGATGGCGCCGTGTACTGTTTGTCCACAGATGATTAACTCACGGGGTGAAAGAATAAGAGGTTGCTGAGTTTCACTCATCCTTACCTACAATATTGATAGTTTGGATGATCTTGACGACGATCTGAATGTATAGCCCATGGCGGGTAGTTTTGAAAAGCCATCAAATGTTTATATACATGCTTATATCTTAAACTACGAGCGCCTGTATGTTCAAAGGATACTGTGGGCATGGAAACTACAGGGTGTAAACAAGTCGGTACTTTGTGCATTCTGTATATGCGCCACACAGGTATCATAGCAGCAGCTGAATCAGAGAACATCTTATTTCGGGACGGAATGGCCCAAGTGGTTAGAGCGCAAATTTATTGACCAGAAGGTCCGAACCCGACCTCTACCTCTCGACTTCCCCTGTCTAGGCTTGGGCGACCTGGTTGTATCCCAGCCCTCGTGCCTCCTTCGTGTGGCATGGTAGCTTGGCACCGAAAGGGTGCTACAGCTGAACGATTACTATATTATTACCTCTTGTTTCAATCTTTGCTGCATGAAGACTTAAGTCACGTCAAATCTTCAGTTTCTTCATACTGGTTAGCAAGAACCATTGAAACTAATTAATTGTTCTGTTCATTACTTGACTAAATAAAAATATAACCTGTTGATGGCCGTATACGTTAGCAGAATGAAGAGATAGGGGTCGCAAAAACGAAGACACAGACAAACCTGTAAGAACAAGGACAGGTGAATGGTCTAATTGGACCTTCGAATTGGATAAACTTTCACAACGTTTCACGGTGCATACAGCTTACTAAAAGTATAAATCATTCCGACAAGATGATTTACTTCAATTCTCGGCGGTGAAACGGAAGATCAATGTGTTCATTCCCAGACGGGCATTTCGCTCGTTCCAATAACTCATTCCGACAAGATGAGTTACTTCAATTCTCGGCGGTGAAGCGGAAGATCAATGTGTTCATTCCCAGACGGGCATTTCGCTCGTTCCAAAAATGAGCAACGTTAAAAGTCAACGTGTGCATGATCACATGGAATTTTGAAAAGCGAGCGTGTGCCGTGCTGCATTGAAGGGGACAGTCAAACGTGTTGAATTTACAAGTTGCTCAAAGGTAAAGATACTACGTGTGCGTTGGAAAATTCGACCTTGTCAGTCAACTCTGAGGCCGGTCTTCGTATAAACGTCCCATTAATTCTAAGAAAGGGTAGTTGCCATCCATTTCACAAAGGATGAAACTATTCAACCTGTTGATGTGCAGCTTAACCCTGTTTGGGACAGGATTAACGGACACCGTGACCTTCAGAGATTGCGGTAAGGTTTTGGAGACTACCAGGGACGCTTGATGATAGCGTGCACATATTTTCGTGAAGTATACTGAGATCACCATTGATTTCCTGTAAAGCTTGACTATCCAGTATCTCATCAGTTTTTACACGCAAAACCTGGGCTATAACTCGTATCAAACTGGTCATAATATTTCAAGCTTCTTCCTGAGAAACGCACCTCTTTTTAATTTTTAACCAACCGACTGGTCTTTGAAGATTCCAACCCGTCGACGACAGGTGCAGTATCCAACGCCAATTATAAGCATATCGGTGACTGTCCGAAACGAGCGCATATCCTTCTGACCACCAAAGGGTGTTTCCTCTCAAGAGCAGGTTTCAGAACTATCATGTCACGTGCATTCTTACCTTGGAAAGGATTTGAACGGGAAATGGATAGAGTAGGTTTCCAGTCATAGAAGAACTTCCGTGTTTTTCTCACTCAGCCAAATTTTTTTTGATTTTGTCACGTGGGCTGTCCATCCGCCAATAAAATGGATCAGCTCATGGCTTGCTAGTATACTCAATGCCATAATCGCGAAGACAGTAAATTTAAAACCATTCGTCTTCTCTTCGCTGGCACGTCAATTATGTTGTTGGTGGATCAGATGGGCACTGACTACCTGGTATTGGCTAGTGGCTTCCTTGTTACCGCAAACCGGTCTAGACTTGGCGCAAAACCTAAACTCCTTCTATGCCCTTCCCCCCTCCCAATCATCTAACATGCAGGTTCAACTGGAGCTGGTGTCACACAAGTGGAGATTATACCGTGCGACGGCGAACCTTGTGCTCTCACAAGAGCGGTAAATTACATTGTCCGTACTGCATTCGTGGCATGTGAGTACATAATGAATTCACGCTAATTTGTATACCTTCCCTCAGAGTTTTCGAATTTCTTCTAGATAATCCATGGTTCATAAATAAATTTGTTCTCACCCAGACGAGCCAAGTTCTCATATTAGAATGCGAGAGCACCCTAGATGTGTGGCATAGACTGGACTTTACGGCTTCGCTTGGTTTGGTGCAAAGTTACGTCATGATATGCTCTAAACGAAATTTTGAAATGAGTCTTTGAAAACGAGTGTTCAAGTGATGGAGCCTATTCTGCTATGTAATCATCTCGCACCTTTGGAAAAAAAGGAGTTTTTTGTTCCCCGTGTTAATCTGAATTGCCACCTCGCTCTTTTTAGTCTTATTTTCGTTAACAAGTAAAGCCAATCGACACCGAAAAGCCATGGAGCACTGCATATCTGCCTCATCCGTAAGGAAGGAAATTCAAACGCTGGTCAACCCACCTAATGTGTGCTCACTTAACTATTCGGTCATTGGCGGAAAAAATTCAGTGTAATCAGATGACCTTTGACTGTTCATCATGGAGTTCACATCACGTGGTCATATCTTGACTGTCTCCTCGAGTGATGATTTCTCAGATGAAAGCTCCACCAATCATGTGACTTGGTCTCCCTCCTACCAATCTGGTTTACTCACAAGTGACCAGATCCGTGTTCCGCTTTTTCTGCCTTAACCGTTTCAACAGATGCAAACGTCGAGTCAAGAGGTTTCACTGTTCGAGGGACAATCGGTTCCCAGCCGCTGACGATACCAGCGCCGATAAATGGTCTGTGCTTCCACGTGTTTCCACGTTGTCCTATTGAAGCCGGGAAAAGCTACGTTTACGGTTACACAGGCGCAGTGCCCCCCAACTTTCCACTGGTAAGTTGCAAGGGTAATTTTGTTTATATTCATTCGTTAAATTTCATATATTCGGTCAGGATCAACCCTGACAGGAACATAAACTCACGGTTAGCGACCGACCACTCAGTGAGTAGGTCGCAATTCTTCTCCCTTAAACGACGGTTGTGTACGTGAAAGTTGTGTGATTGCTGGCGGGAACGATGGCTATCAGTTTTCATAATGATTTGTTATCGTTTCTTGTTTTTTCCTTATCGAATGCGGTAGGTGACCTGCAGTGAAATTTTTCTTCACGTGCTTGGTATACTATTGAATACTGTCCTAAGAACTAAATCCATGTATCAGTTAGGATATCCGACGAGTCTCTACTACTCATTGGTGAAGTTCCGATCCGAAAACGCGGCTTTTCAAAGTTGAACAGACATTCTACTGCCGGGCTGAATCGATGAGAAATATAGGCGGAGGAAACTGAAGGCGTGGGGTAGACTGCGGCAACTCGACCGCGCATCGCATTTCAGCTGAGTACACTCTGATGGCGAACCCATACACCCGAAAGACTGCTTGATATTTGGGTTTTTGAGGGCATGCACTTCATAAACTGAAAGTAGGATGAACCATTGATCTTGGTGTAAGTTAGCAAGGTGGGTGGCTGTTAATCAGTCGACTGAATACCTTTTGGGTGTCAAGCATACCCACTGATTACTCATTTCGCATGATGAATCTATTCACTCCGTTGCGCTGAAACGTTGCACTTACTTGTATTGTTCAAGCGTGCTGCCATATTAATCACAAAACTTTCTTTACAGGGTCTGACGAACCTCCAATGGGAGTTCCTGTACCCAGGCGGCAGGTCGTTCGTGTGTATTGAAATCACAGTTCGAGTTGTATAGGCAGCTTGAAAGTTTGGAAGGTGAACCTCGACCCGATTTATTACATGGTGATATCAAATAGATTTTTCTTCTTTCTCCTATTTGGATCGGTTAGGCGCGATAATTATAGGTAACCATATTTTGAAGGGTCACAGCCGCGACTGATGAAGTCGGTCGCAACAGACATATGTTCTGGGATTTTGTCATTTAGGATTGCGAGGATAACTTATATTCCTCGAGAAAAGTATATTGGCACAGAGCAGTAAATCAAGCAATATTTGCAATAGGATAACACAACATTCAAAATTTTGTCGAAAGCTCTCCGATGACCAAGATCGATTTCACCCTTCTTGCGGCTCATCAGGTAGGTGTTCTAGGACCGTGGTCCCGAGTGTATAAACCCCTAGCTTTTAAAACATCTAGTGGGCACCGTGCCACGACAATGACGAGATTTCTCAACCAGACCGAGTTATCCAATAACTGGAAGGCATCCAACTTCATGCTCATTCATGCGGATCTTTGTGGGAAACCCCAAGAAGTCCCTGCTTGGAGTGTTCTTACAGTCGTAGAGAGAGAGAGTTGTTTGAGAAAGATAGGCCCCTCGTTGCAAAACCACTCAGAAGGTCGGTGTCAGCGGAAATGGTGACATAACACATTTAGTCTGTTCTACTTCATGGGGTATGTGACCTAGATACTGGTGTGTGGGGAGTTCTTCTACCTGAATAAAACAAAATACTACTTAGTAGCGCTTTCAAAGTTGGGTATACAGAACAGCCTCTGGGCTAGGCGGAGAAATTTGAAACTTTGCGAATGTTTTAATAGTGATAGAGTTTGTCGGTGTTTGCTGGGGTGCCTCCTGGCTCAGTGCAAGCGACTAGCCTCTTCTCAGTTTATGTGAACTGGCTAAGATACCGACTCTACATGATTTCTGATGATCTGAAGGAGACTGATGGTCTACATGAAATGACATTTCAAGAGTGCGTTTACCCACTTTTCCAATGAGCTGCATACTAGAAGTAAGTCTTAGGTACCGGGGGGAAATGTGCTTCCATCGGAGGACAGAGCTTTACACAGCTTCAGTGACCAAGATGAGACAGGAGGCCGTTAAATGGGACCCAGAGATACAACCGAATTCAAGCTATCTCTCAAAAGTAGCCCGCCGGGGCTATCCTTACTGGGCGCCTTTAGGGACAGTCCTTGTTAAGAAGCCTTGCCTGCTTCGACCCCTGCACAGATGTTGTTTCAATCTACATCTGGCACTCACTGTTCAAACATTAGCACTCCACCCAAGAGAGCATCCCGAGTAATTTAAGACGTTGCAAAACATCGTTGCAAAATGTTATTCGTTGGTTTCCTGCGTGAATATTAACGGGGACGACAGGAGTCTTCACAGCCTGGTATCAACAAAATGCTAACAAAATCGTCAGAAATGGAAGCGATATGGAAGCCTTAATCTAGGGGGTCATAACTTTGGGGTCTCGCACAGGTGTCGTTGGCCGTTGTCTATCTGGTGAGATTAGACTGCAAGTCAACCGACCGGTCGGATTAGAGTATGCTCTGGAGAAGAACCTGAGAATTCACGATCAGCTTTAGGAACCTATGACTTGGGCGTCGTTTTTACCTGCTAGTCATTTGGGCACGAGTTGCAGACCTTGAAAGCTGTACAGCTATTGGCTGTCCTAGATTTATGGGTCTCATATCGCTTGTTGGTACGGAGAGCGCTTAGATAGAAAACGATTCACTGGAGCTTTCCAAGCCACCTTTCTTCAAAAGCATTATTGCTTATATCAACAAGGAAGCATTGATCACCTTTATGTACAGAACGAAAGTTTACATCAAGGTTTTCAAATCCCCCTCAATATCGACTCATAGTTTTCTAAGATTGTCTAAGATTGAGGCGGAAAGACTCATTCGAATAATCCTCCACTCGTTTTCGTCATCCTTCTGGAAGCTGACGTGGACTCGAGACGACTTCATTGTCGGGTTTTTAGGTACCGGCGTTGTTTTTTCCATTGTAATCCACTGTAACGCTTCGAGAGGTGATGGTGCTACTTAAAACTATCCGCGTGCGTGCACCGTATCTCCACTTTGCTCAGAACATGTAAGGCGTTCCATCGATGTGGACATCATGAATTTAATTTGGTGAGGAGAAACCAATTAGATATCGATCCAGTAGCCGACCACTTATTTCGCTCAATCACGTGGACATGCTCACGTGTTCAAACGAGGCAATTCGACTGCGTTAAGTTTGCGCGGGTGTAGTACTGGTGACATTCTCTCACGTGTTCAAACGAGGCAATTCGACTGCATTAAGTTTGCGCGGGTGTAGTACTGGTGACATTCTCACTCGGAATATCAATTGTCCAAAGTTTAAACCCCGGTACGGCCAGGTGTATGCATCGCGGTGAGCTCCAGTTCACACTGCAGCTCGAATTCGGCAGGGACTCACCAGAACAACTACACTAGGAGAAGAGGATGGCTTTTCGAATGCGAGTGATGTGAATGCGACGAGGTTTTGTCCTGGCTTCCCACCCTCATGTGAATTAGTTTATCTACCAATAGGTATAGCTCTCGGCGACTTTGTTCCTGCTGGTCAAAGTTATGTTCCACCTCTTGCGATTCCTGTCAGCTCAATATTCATACTGCCTCGCTCTTCATTGTCCCCATCCAACTATCGAATTGAATCCATTTTTGAACAAAGCCTTTTTACTACGTTTGCGTTTGTCTGGCCTTAATTATTTCCGATCGAAGTGACCAGGCATTGATCACCTTTATGTACAGAACGAAAGTTTACATCAAGGTTTTCAAATCCCCCTCAATATCGACTCATAGTTTTCTAAGATTGTCTAAGATTGAGGCGGAAAGACTCATTCGAATAATCCTCCACTCGTTTTCGTCATCCTTCTGGAAGCTGACGTGGACTCGAGTAGGTTTCATTGTCGGGTTTTTAGGTACCGGCGTTGTTTTCTTTTTCATTATGATCCACCGTAATGCTTCAAGAGGTGATGTTGCTACTTAAAACTATCCGCGTGCGTGCACGGTATCTCCGGTTTGCTCAGAACATGTAAGTCGTTCCATCGATGTGGCCATCATGAATTTAATTTGGTGAGGAGAAACCAATTAGATACCGATCCAGTAGCCAACCAGTTATTTCGCTCAATCACGTGGACATGCTCACGTGTTCAAACGAGACAATTCGACCGCATTAAGTTTGCGCGGTGGAGTACTGGTGACATTCTCACTCGAAATATCAATTGTCCAAAGTTCAAACCCCGGCACGGCCGGGTGTATGCATCGCGGTGAACTCCAGTTCACATTGCAGCTCGAATTCGGCAGGGACTCACCAGAACAACTACACTAGGAGAAGAGGATAGCTTTTCGAATGCGAGTGATATGAATGCGACGAGGTTTTGTCCAGGCTTCCCACCCTCGTGTGCATTAGTTTATCTACCAATATGTATAGCTCTCGGCGACTTTGTTCTTGCTGATCAAAGTTATGTAGCAGCTCTTGGGATTCCTGCCAGCTAAATATTCATACTGCCTCGCTTTTCATTGCGCCCATCCAACTATCAAATTGAATCCATTTTTGAATAAAGCCTTTTTACTACGTTTGCGTTTGTCTGGCCTTAATTATTTCCGATCAAAGTGACCAGCAGAAAATATGCGAGACATAGAGGAACGCTTCCCGAGGTCAATTTCTGCCTAGATTCGTCTTTTGTGCTTGACTTTTCCTGCACAGTGTCTGTGACACGCACGGCGAATTTGACACACAGGAACCATCTCCCGTCGCCAAAAAATGCTTTCGTTTGACAGTTCCATGGTCACAAAGACGGACAAGCAAAATGAGTGCGACGATTAGTGTCGGTATTCCTCATACAGGGAAGCTAGTATTCACAAATTACTCAAATCCAGCATGCTGAAGAGGCCCTTTCGTAGATAAGGGATTACTTTGCGAACATGTATTGTTGACTGAAGTGCAACTAACTCATCTAATATTACTGGGCACGACGCCTGTGTTGAGATAATTGTGGAATCCTCCGGCTTTAATGGGACAGCGTGGTGTCAGGAGACATGACCCACTGTCCTTGATATCCATACACGAGGACCAAGAAGGCCACTACTTCAATCTAGAAAACGCAACGGAGACAAGAGACACGAGAGAGAATTTCTGGGAGCATGGTACTCCATCGGTGCATCGAACTGGATCCAATTTACGCCCCTCTAGGTGCAAAAGACCAACATCTCAACCGGAACACTCAAGGAGGATCGAATATTGGATTCACAAACAAAGAAACAAGGAACTCCTTGGAGGCACATCAATAAATGTCACAAGCCAGGACTCGAAAGGACGAAGGTCACTCCAGCATTGATCAGATTATCAAGGCAGGGGATGCCAAGACCAAAGGTCGCGTGGGCATCGGCAAATGGGGACACAGGACAACGGAGCAACCAATGAAACCACCCAAACGAACAACTGATTGCGATCAAAGGTCATCCCCTGCCAGCATCACGTATATCAACACACGCGTACGACTACTCAACGCACCGCTACGCACCACTACGCTCCCCAATAACGCACTGATGATGTCACTTCGATTGGTGATGAGAAGTTTGCAATCAAACTGCCCAGCTCAGCGAACGAGCCAACGACCAGTGCACACAGTTTGGACGGACTTTTACCCCGCACGGATTCACCCCTTACTATAGTATCTCTCGGCTCGACGTTTCTGACTGGGTAAAATAAATGCGCCGGACAAGGCTGAGCGGAACAAGTTTGATTAGGTGGTGCGGCAGACAACAACCGCATGATGCAACCATCTTCCAGAAACTCAACAATGAGAGACTGTTCGATGAATCTCGTGTTCCAAGTATTCCGAGAGAAAAAAAGCAAATCACTTCTGGGCTATGTTGCTAGTATCATCTGTGTCGAATGCTTCCACGTTTTAATTACCTTCGGAAGTGAATTCCAATGAACTTCGACAACAGCCTTTGCGGTGAAACTAACAATGTACTGTAGTTAATTTTACATACACGCAATTTTCACGTGATCAGCACATCATGCTGAAACTGCTCGCTCACAAAGCGTTGTGAGTACTGAGTAGGTTCAGTTCTACTTCATGAGCCAGAGCAAGAGATATTTTGTCCGTCCAGTTTCTGAGGAATGTATAATTAAGAACTGAACAATTAAACAGAAAAAGTCAAACACTGACGTTCTACGAATGTAATGATCACCGTAGCGAGAAATACACTCGTTTGCAAATCAATTTAGTCCTCACGAGAGACTCAACTGAATCTCTCGTTTATGATATTCTACAACTGAAAGTGCTGCACACAGGCCGCCTTATGGTTCAGTTGGCACGATATTCGAGATATCGCAGTATATTTTCAGCAACCTTGGAGTAGTTTCCTTTATGAAAAGATCACTGTAGCGGTTTCAGCCACTCATCGAATACTGGAAAAGTGGCCTGAGGATCAGCCAGGAGAACAAACGACAAGTCCGCAATCACACGTTCCTCACCTCAATGGAGCATCTTCGGTTCAAAATATCTTTGAACGACCAAAGTGATAACCAAATGCAGAATTCAATGAATCAGCGGAAGTGACATTACACCACATGGGAATTCGCAACTTCCTATGGCCGTATTCTCCTAGCAACTGCACTACATTTTGAAATGATATTTCCGCCTTTTTGACAGCAAGACTGCAAAATGAGTGTTGGTTGGCACAACGACGCAAGTGAAGAGGCGTGGCGGATGCACACTGTTCAGCTGGAAGTTTAAAGAGTCATCATGACATGACACAGTGTGGACGTGAACAGATCTCTAAGTCTAGGGGAGTGCTAATTATCGAGATCTTCCATTGATTCTCGAACAGAAGCGCTCTTATGAAAATATGTTCTTAGTATATTGATTCAAAACTTACCAAGGTCTCCGAATCTCCTGGCTTTCCTGACACTCCCCAAATAGAGCATCACACTGTATCGTGTTTGTGGTGAAAAGCGAGGTTGTTCTCCGTAAACTGCATATATGATGACCTTCCCCAGAGTTGTATGTTCCTCCAGGTATTTGACAATCGATGAGTCATCGGTGGATCTTCACCCGTGTTACAGACCACGAACTCAGGTATTTGACAATCGATGAGTCATCGGTGGATCTTCACCCGTGTTACAGACCACGAACTGAGAAACGATCCGGTATCGAGAGGGAGGAGCGTGCAGCACTGCTAATGCAGGCAGGTATGTCAAAGTGGCTAGACGGTTGCCAAAATTACTGCCCGTGGGAAGGGCTGTAGTGAACTCAGACGGTGGGCGACCAGGAGCCACCAGCGCCAAAACAGACCAGGTACGGTCCCCACTGCCTCCAAATGCGTGTTGGCATGATAATAATACACCTACCAGCACTCTAGCCGAGAACCAAACGGTCTTTCTCCAACAAATGCAAACAGGACCTTCGAAACATGCAGAATAGTTCACAGGATCTCCGGTGATTCACGCCAAACTTGTATGCATCAACCAAAACGACGGTTTCCTGATGTAGTTTGTCTGGTCTGGATCAACAGAAAAGCGTTAACCCCAAGCATCAGATGCGAGCCTCTTAGAGTTTAATCACTCCCCTGCATCCGAGCAGGTCAGACCAGAGAATCATCGGCTCCAAACAGCTTCTCCAAAGAAAACCCTACTACTCGCTGCCTCGCGTACCAGACTTCTGAGTCACAGGCCTACAGTGGTGCATCTCAGTTCGACGCTGTTCCCAGCCTGGAAAGCCAGTAAATATCTTTTGCCCGCACAGTCTGACATCTGTCCTAGAATCCTTTCTACCCTACAATCAAGCGCTAATGGATCATTCGATTCTCGGCTGTCGATTAGCCATGAACAAGACATCGTGCTTAATTCACGTCAAAAAACAGCAAAAAATTGACTTAACAGAGCGCAGCACAATGAACTACTAGGTTACTATCTTTGGGGAAGTGAATATCCAAGCCAAGTCTGGAATTCTCACGCGTTTGGTATTCGAAATTACGTGCTTCCGGTAACTAACTAAAAGGTGCATTTTTGGAAGGAAGTTACGTTGCTTAAAAAAGAATCTCGCTGAACATGTTGCCACAGCTGGTCTGATGGTCTCCATTGCTTGTCACCTCAGACGTTACGTCGCAAATGTGCGCGAATAAACAGACCTGTTGTTACAAGGACAGGTGGATGGTAAAAGTGTTTTCTTGAACATATCACCTTTGGCCAACAAGAATTTTGAAACACCCAGAATGAAGTTGAAGCTGTGAAGGAATACAAGAAACTGGTTTGACGGACAACTCTGAAGTGGAGAACCTATCAGAATGTTTCACAGTGCACATTCGGTTGAAACTGTGACTTATTCCGGCCAAGCGACTGCCATGCATTCTCGTTTTGTTTCCAAACATGCCATTTCTCGTTAAAAAAAATTGATGACCTTGAAACTCGACGTGTGCGATATGACATGGGATTTTTAAACGGTCTATAGACACGGTGAGTTGACTCATGTTAATCGTATTCGGCTGAGCATGTGCCCTGTCTGTACGTCAGCCGCCCCCCGAATAAACGGAGTCTGAATTTCCGAGTGCAGGAAAGTTCGACCTTGTCAGCAGATCTCAGTTCACTATATAAACAACCCATAAAGTTTCAGAACGTGAACTTGCTACTCACTACACAGACAATGAAACTATTCAACCTGTTGATGTGTAGCCTGACCCTCTTTGTGGCGGGAGTTTCGGACGCCGTGATCTTCAAAGATTGCGGTAAGGCTTCAGACACGGTGCTAACATAGAAATAGTCCCGTGGAAGCACATTGAAGTAATCAGTGAGGACACTTCACTGCTCTACACAATCTCATCAAATTTTACACCTGAGCCAGGACTCACATAAATTTGATAGTGACTTCTGAGACCACTTCCTGAGCAATGTGTCTCTTTTGAATTTTTGCACCTCGCAGATTTTAAAGGGTTCACATCTGAACAACTTGGGCAAAAACGTCAAATTATTTTAGGGATTACAGAAAATCGTATTTTTGAAACTCGTCATATTCATGAAATCCAGAATGCTTTCGGAACCACACGAGTCTCATTCATTTTATCGATTTTCCTCTCCAGAACCACCACCCATACGATGCAGCGAAACTCTTGATGGGAATTGGTGCTTCCAGCAGAAGGCTGCGTGATCACTAGTTCGATTTGTCCTTCCTATATAGAATTACCACTCGATGATGGAGTCCAGCATTCAGCGTCAATCATTCGACATCAGTGACTGTTCGGAACGAGCTTACGTCCAACTGACTGCTAATTGGTGTTTGAACCCAGAAGCTATCAGGGGCGTTCTATGTCAAATCGATCGAATAGGTAGCCAAATCATCAACTCCTACAGTTGTTCAACTGTATCAGCTGACAACAACTTTAGAGTTTCCTCACATGGAACGATTTACTAGGACGTTAAATTTTACATACAAATGAATCAAATGTGGAATTTCAGTTCATGCTTCTCTCGTGTGGCTGCAATAATGCACGACTGGTATGCTGATGGTTTCAAACAAAATTGGGACAGTCTAACTTGTCAACTCGAATTTTCTGAGAACGAGAGTTGGATCAGTTGAAAACTGGCTACCTGGCATTTGTTGCTCTACTCCTCAACCGAAACTCCTCCCATAAACTCTACTCACAATCATTCGACGTTTACAGGTTCAACAGGCGCTCGTGCGACAGGAGTGGATATTTCACCGTGTGAAAGCGAACCATGCGCTCTCAGCAGAGGGGTCAATTACGTAGCCCGTGTTACATTCATTGCAAGTGAGTAAACAATCAAGCCTCATTGTTTCGCATAAATGTTGTGACGCTTTTTCCTAGAAGCCGAGGTTTAAGGATCTTCCCCAGGTACGGAAATAAGTTTGTCCTTTGGTTTATTTTTGAGTCCCACCAAGACCAACCAAACATTTCTATTGGAATGTGAATTCATTTCAGTTTGTACACCATACTCTAGACGTCAGGGCATGGGTGAGTTTGTCGGAAAGGCTTTTACAAATGAATCTGCACGTGTTGCAGCCTATGCTGCTAGGTGTTAGCCTGCCCATTGCAACGATACGGTAGTTCTCACCGAAATAAGGTTTATTTTTTCTGTTTGGTAACTTGTCCGAACAAATGTTCTTTAACCCTGTTCATAATCAGCGACGGATTGCCAATTTAGAATTTCTAGCTTTCCTATCATATTAATAGTGTGTGTGTGGGGGCTTGTAAGTGAGGCCAAGCAATATGGAAAGCCGGGAAGCACTGCATAGGGAGTCTCATTCGTTAGGAACTAATCAGCAGTGCGCATTTCATGAAATCTCGACGTGATCCGAATGCACTATAAACCCCCCTATAACCCACTACTCGATCACGAGCAAGTGTGATCAACTCGCTCAATGCTTAGTGATGGGATTCTAATCACGTGTTCGCACGTTGACTCCCTCCTCGACTGGCAACTCCTCAGATAAGAGGTTCGCCAGTCATATGGCTCGCTCTTTGTCTTACCTCTCTGGTTTGCTCACATGTGACCGGATGCAAGTTGTGTTCTCTCTTTCTTGACTCTTTGAACAGACGAAAACGTTGGTACTACAGGTTTCACTGTTCATGGTACAGTCGGTTCTCGACCGATGGCGATACCGTTGCCATCAAACGGTGTGTGTGTCTTCTTGTTTCCACCGTGTCCTGTTGAAGCGGGGGGAAGGTACATTTACACTTACACGGGAGCGGTGCCTCCCAACTTTCCACTGGTAAGTTGCGTGAAAAAGGTGTCATTCTGCTGATCGCACATTTCTGTGGTATACATCACGTGCTCAATCAGGATCTACCTTGTTGAAAGGCTATCATCTTCTTGTCCAGACGGCTCATATCCTAAATGTGCACGGCTCCCCGAACGCGTTTTCCATACTTGGCCGTGTATGTAGAAGCTTTGTGAATACTGGCGGGACTAATGACTACCCTTTCCCAAAGGGTTTTCCCTTCCTGGTTTGCCAAGTATATTAGGTGAACTGTGGCGTGTTTTTTATCACGATACCGAGATTGTACGCAAACCAAAAAACCCATGATTAGCTTAGGATACACAATGGTCTTGGAGTTCCGATCGTAAAAAAACACATTTTTTCTGAATTGTTCACGCAGTCTGCTGTTGTGATGAATCGACTGAATTTGTGTTGGGACATCGAGGCCGGACAACCGCTAACAGGTGTGACCGTCCATTTTGCTGTAGCGGAGTTTACCAAGATGGCCATCCCACAAAGTCCAAAAATCGATATTTTCAGCTACCCAGATGTGTTCATTTTGTTACTGGGGTGTCTTTCCAACTTGGAATGAATCTGATTTCTTGCGCTTGGTGTTATTTGGAATAGTTGACCCGTCTGTTGTATGTTAGAAGAGTGAATAACCTTTGTGTCGCACCAAATAATTACTCGTCTCTCATGACGAATTGCGTTGAAGCGAATTACACTTAATTGAATTGCTCAGTTGTGCCACTATCTGAGTTGTAATCACCTTCTTACAGGGTGTGACGACTCTCCGGTGGGAGATGCTGGACCGAACCGGCGCATCGTTTGTGTGCATGGAAATCCCAGTGCGAGTTTTATAGGCTACTTCGAAGTTCGAGAACCTGAAGTCGACGTGTCTGTGATTGCACGCTGTTGTCATAAAACATTTCTGCATTCAAATCTTCCTCTTTTCTCGGTTTACTTTATGTAGCTCGATCATGCAAAAAGTTAAATTACCAAGACCGCAAATAGTGCCCGGAATCGGGCGCTGTTTTTAGATATCATCATTTAAAACTAGGAAGTTAGATAACGTCTCTCCAAGAGACAAGTATTAGCACGAAGCAATAAATCAATCCGGATGAAAAATTGCGAATCAGCTTGGGAAATATCAGTCAGTTCAATTCACTTTATTAGCAATAAACCGTGTACCATAGGAGCATTGGTTCTAACTGCCACAGTTTCGATCGCAGGGAGAGTATGAACTATACAGCCAAGCCTTTGGAGGCGATAGCATGCTCAGTTCATTTGGAAATGGTGTAGCTACGCATTGAAGGCGATAACTTTGATGCATGAACGCCACTGGCTGCGCGATGTCATTAACCACTGGTGAGTGGAGTTCCAGGGCCCTCATCCAGGGAGCGACAGTTGCCCACCCGACTAAGTTTACTCGTTAGTGTTTTCGTACTTCGTTTCCATACGCTTCGGTCGCTTCCACCGAGCACAGGACTGGGCGAAAAGAGCTCTGCGATCATACGCTATTCGCCTCTCGGTCGCTTCCACTGAGCACAGGACTGGGCGAAAAGAGCTCTGCGAGGCAGACGATTCTCTACCATGCGGAGTACATGACCCAACCAGCGCAGCCTATGAAGCGTGAGTAATTCATATATTGCGGGAGAGTTCCTTCTTCCTAAGACCATCTGGTGTACCTCAGCAGTATTAATCCGATTTTACCACCAGACCTGACCAATGCTTCACAGACACCGATGATCAAATTTGGGGAGTAACTGGGACCAAAATTCTTTCCGAGGCGAGAGCACCTCCGCCTCATGGGGATGGACTCATGTTTGGGCTGCTATTTCGTTTTTGCCCACCAGTGGATTACGCCGTTGCGGGAAATTTCGCGAGACATGAGTAGGTCAGTTAAGATATTTGTATGTTGGTGTGCTCACTGATTCAGGGTTTTGTTCTTGTTGGGTTTGTATAGCATGTTGAGAGCACCCTATACGTGTGGTTTGTTTGTTACGAGTGGCTTTCGTGACTTTGAATCTGTAATGATTTGGGGCTCATTCCCTAACACCTGTTTTGGTTCATCCGTTTTATTATTCTATCAACTGCTCCGATTGTTCTACTTCCTCATGTTCTAGTTGTCCGCTTCCATTGGCTACGTTGTGGACAACCAAAAAGTGCGAGAGTAACAGCTTCCTGATCAATTGTCAGTGAATGCGCACGAATTACCAATTCTCCAACAAATTATCGGCAGAAAGAGCTTCCTAGTTTGAAGTGATTTCGTTGTGGACATATCACCTCATGATGCTCTTTTGCACTGCAGGTACTTCTTGAGCTGTATCCGCTACATTTTTAAAATACGGTTGTTTTTTTGACCGTATTTTAAATTCCTCCAGCGCCCACTACCAACCGTTGGAGGAGAGTCGGCGGATTCAGGGCTGACATTTTCTAACCCGCCTTTTTTCATCAAGAGCATTGCTTTCATAAACACGGAAGAACAGATATTCTTCACAGACAGGGCAAACCCTCGATCGTATTCCACAAGTCTCCTCCTAAAATCAACACTATTTTGCTAGACAGTCGTGCATGAAAGCTCCAGGCGGAACAATTTACGTAACTCATCTTCCACTCGTCAAATTCAGCATTCTGGAAGCTGATGAAACGTTTTTTCTATCGGGACTAGTTTCTAGTTTGCGGGACTGTGTTCAGGGTATGCATCCCTCTTTCTTGATCCCACTGCTCCCGGCCCGGCCTAGTAGTGCAAGCGCCCGGGTCACTATCTCTGCTATCATTTTGAACTTGTAGCAGGTCGGCCTGCTGCGTCTATAACTAATTGCAATACATCCGCACTTACAGTTTTAGCTCGCTATTTCGGGTTCTTCATGGTGCTCTGGAAAGATTTGTCCCTCAACTCCAGGTGGCTGGGCATTTATAGAGCCTGTGTTTACATCACTCGCTTTGGAACATCTTCGTTCCTTTCCTGGAGCGATTAATCTGATGAATTCATGCTGTAATTGAGTTCCAAATTCTCTGTAAATAACAGGCAGTGTATACAATGTACACGAATGGTTCATGAAATCAACTTATATCAAGCTGTCCTTTGTGCACGACTTCTTTTCACAGAGACTGTGATATGTACTGCGAATTCGACGAACAGGAACTATTCCCCGTCACCAGAGAATAGTTCCCACTGGACAGTCCCACGGCCATATAAAGAGGAGGGTTCACGATATACCAAATGACTATGAACACGAAGAAAACGAACGTTAACCGAAAACTCTAGTCTACTTGTCGTTGGTTTCTCAAAGATAGTTGTACAAGTTCATTCCAAATATCAAATCTGAATGGATAGTAGGTACCAGGTTCTGATCCACGTTCTCAGTTTTCATTTCAATTCTTTGTGTCCCAGTCGATGACAGGAAGGTGAAGTATACCATTACCCAAGATGCCCTAGAGTTGGAGCAATCAACGGACGGACATCAGGGCGGGCATGCTGACTGCAGAGGTCGGCGAAGGGCTACCACAATTTCCTCGTGTGTGTTGTGATATCAGGCACCTTCAAAGGAAGATGATAACCTTCAGGTGATCTTCAGTACTTCACACGGTTCGGCAGAGCGGAAGATTCCATGTGGATCTTTCTTGTTGAATGGTGCACTAAAACAGGAGCAGTACCATTGGATCAATGTATCCATGGCCCAGTTCAATGTCAGAATAATTCTATGAGTTTACTCAACGAATCCACTCTCCTGAAAATTGGATCACTAACTAAGTCAACTATCCTTGAAGGCGAGTTTGTAAAGCATGCTATATTTGAGGGTGTATCTGATACGACTCCAGTAATACAGGTATACATCACAACTGGAAGGAAGTATTTGTGGATTACTCACGTTCAGCATGATTTCGGGGACCCTCTCAAGATAAAAAGTGCGCTTCTTGAGAGGGTCCCATAAATCATGTTTGGACGGAATGGAGCTCGGTGAAGTCATCTCGAACTATGGCATCTCTCGGCTTGATGCTTCTGACTGTTCAATAGAGACGCGTTAAACAGAGATGAGCAGAATAAGTTTGGTTATGTGTTGAACAGACAAGAACCGTAAGCTGTATGCTTCCACAGAATCGCAAGCATGCGAGAGTAGCCGATGGACGTCTTGTTTCCAGTCAGTAAACACCATTCGAGAAGAAAGCAGTAAATCTTTTCTGGGTAACGTTACTAGTGAAAGGAATGGGGTCTTCGCTGCGGGGTTATTTATCAAAAAATGCCAACTAGAACAATTACAGACTATTGGACAGGGGAGGAAAACTCTCCTATGCATCTGGTTTATAAAATTGAATACCCATCTTCTCCTTGAGCGCGTCTTTCTGAGCTTTCTTGGGTAGTCATTGACCGTTACAAACAAACGCTACAGAGCGACTCCAAAAATTCCGTAACAGATCTCACTTTTCACGAGACGCAGAGCGAATTTAAAAGAAGAAAACATACTACTAACGTGCCTCCCCATCAGTAGTATCACCGCTACACTAGTATCATCCGTTACAAACTTCTCCACTTTTTGTGTGCTTCTGAATACATGCTCAAACTGAGTACTCCAACTAACTAAATGCAAAATAGCCTTTGTGCATATTGCTGAAACAGCTCGCCCACGGAGATAAAACACTGTGTGTATTGAGTTCATTGATTTCTTTCTCATGCTCTGGAGTTCGGCTTCGAGGAAATGTGCAACTAAACACTTGCACAATTAGACTATATTAAACCATATATAATAAACTATACTATATATTACATATGTCGTGTTATATCATATCATTACCTTATTGTATATTACACATATTAAACTACATTAAATTATATATTAAACTAAATATATATATAGGCGTTCCACTCCGAACAGGAATGCAGTGATCGCTGTTGCCCGCAGCGATGCTCACTGAGAGCAGTTTTGCGCCATCCGAACCTGTGCACCAAGGAACACAAATAGAAGTTAAGGCGTCTTTGAAAGCTATGTGAGATTTGGGAATCTTCAGTATGGACGCCAGTATGTGTTGAACAGCCGAGAAGCACCGTATAGCTGTTTCCTCCTTACCAGTAGTGCGCAACTCCTGGAACTTGAGGAAATCTTGCGGGTTTCAGTGAGTCCTCAATGGGCATCCATACAACCACGCGGAAGGAGAAGGTGCTCCAAAATGTAGCTCAACTAGTTCCCCCTTTCTTTCATCTCATCATCATCATCATCATCATCATCATCATCATCGAAGACAGCAACATGAATGTTGTCACTGATGCTTCACTGCCGTACTTGCTCCCCCAACAAGTACGCCACTTTCAGTGGACATCCGACGCGGTTTCAACATAGTGCACTCCACCCAAAGGAGATTAAGACAAATAAACTTATTTGAGTGTCAACTAGCCGTTCACTGTTGTCTACGCTGAATCACTCAGCCATGATGGTCTCCAAATGAATGTGCTGCACAAAGGCCTCTCCTGTTTCATTTGGCACGATGTTCAAGTTATTTCAACATATTTTCATTGAAGAAACTACCCACAAGTTTGCCGCGTACTGCTCGGCAGACCAGAACTGGTTTCACCCTCTCTGCGGCTCATCATAGAAGCGCAGTTCCACAGTTTCCGTCAACCTTACGTTCTGCTTGCACGCAAATCTGACAGATCTCGACAAATACACTCATTGCATAGCAGCCCTGTTTTCACGGGAGACTCAAAAGGCATACGTGTTCCACTAGGCATCAAGGGCGATTGGGACAGGGCGCGTAGCATTTGTAGAAGATGATGCAGCACACCGAACACAAAAGCGGAGTCGATGAACTCGAAAAGTGGCTTATTTCCGAAGACCAGCCGCAATAGTTAACGGAACTTCCGCAAACGAATATCACACAGTTGAATCTAGTATTTCCGGTCTAAAACCTTTTCCAATGACCGATTTGGTGGCTTATTCGGGATCCAGATGATGTGATACTTATGGGGGTGGGTGGGGGTGGGATATACGTCAGGCGGTAAGCGTCATGCGTTGGTCGATAGATTCACCCAAATTGGCAGCAGTCACTGGAGAGCAAAGGTGGCGGTCAGTTCCTCGAATGTCAGCGAATTTTCCTGGTAAGTTTGACAGATTTTGTGGTAAGGCACCAGCAATGTTTCTAATAAAATTCTGCTTGCAGCTGACACGTTAGTGCATGAGGAACAGGGTTTTAACCAGGTATGAGCCACCAGAATTGACATTTCATCACATGGAAATATGACCAGATTGTGGATTTGGTACTTCAATGTGATCCTAATTTCCTAACAACTGGGCTACTTTTTGAGTCCAGTATAGGTCCTTGTTTTTATAACAGTATAAGCCCACTAGTGTGCAGGATATGCATTTTTCAGCCGGTTGTGTGTGTAGAGATCTCTAAAGATAGGAAATGTTTTTGTGGGAGGTAGTGACAAATGAGGGCGCCCTTACTTCCAGATATTTACGTTACGTTATGAATCGATGTCCTTGATTTGTTCACTGGAAACTTAGCACAACCTCTGAACCTTACGGCGTTTGTGACGCTGTATAAACGGGGGAGCACACTGCGAATGAATGAATCTCACGGTTGCATCGTGTATGCGGTAAACAGATGGGTGTTTCTCCTTGGATCGTATATATAATGATGTTTCCATCAATTCAACAAAAGTCAGGGGTTCTCAGAGTGACTCACCGTCAAATCGCCACTCGTCGGATTAGACAAAACGTTCGTTTTTCGTGTAACACCCCATGCGGTGTTGGTGCACATCCAGAACACATTGCTCCAAGCGGTTGTGGGCCCATTTAAATATCATTAGAATACACCAACTCAAGTTTTCTAGACCCTGTAAAGAATTTCATGTGGCTTGTCACATTTTACTCCATGGATCATCCAGTCTGAAAAATACGCAATCGCGTTCAGGTAGTATTTTCAATGTTTTGGTGCAGAGTCTTTTGCGATAGAAGAAAATTTTAAATCATTCAAGGGATCAGGTTCATTTTTTGGCCAACGCAGATTTCACATCCTTTTCCTTACCACTGGGCCTGGAAGGCGCTACAGCCGTCTGGTTTTGTGGAAAATTCCGGGGTCCATCTTCGAGACAGAGTGTGTTACACCTCTACTTCGGTCAGGTAGGTCGTAACCCATCAAAATATGGCCAGTGAGAAGGGCCGCATAGAAGGCAGCACAGAATCTTGTGGAAAGTTGGTTGGTATGGTTGAATTCCAATGATGTAGCAGGAGCGTATGTGCACACGTTTGTGTCCGCGTCGCCAAACAGAAAATGAATAGGTAGTTGACGTTTTAGACCTCCTGGAACCGTAAGCGGTCTGGTATAAATTTTTGCCGGTTCAGGTGTACCTGGTGTAGCATTTCGAACACGTTAATTGTGTGTGAAATGATTAGTTTCGGCTTGCAGTCGACCATTTTCTGCGACGAAGTTTTTTAGACCAAAACCTTGCACGTCTTGCTAGGCAGCTGAATATCTAGCATTGTGCCAATTCCGGTCACTTGCGCCCAATGGACTAGTTTTAGCCTGTTGGCGTGTTCTCTGAAAGCTTACACGTTTGTCATGAACTTGATCATAAAAGATTTCTCCCACTCAACACAACCGATGAGAGAGCTATCGCGTGGCTAATTTGAGACGTTGAATTCTCCATGTGCGTCATAGAGGCTGTATGGAAATGTTGAAGGTTTAACGTAGTTTCCGCATTGTATATGCTTTTGTTGAATTGCCGTCACGAAGAGATTAGACCCTACCGTGGTTTGACGGCTATCACGCCTCATCGATCCACTGAGCTATATTGGGAAGTGTCCCCGTGACACTTACAGTCTCTCATACCAGGTTAGTCAGTGGTTGGAGGTCTGACAAACAGTCTTCTGACCTTCCAGTTTGGGGGTTGGGTAGTCACATGGCGCCGACATCTTCAGGAATCTCCAAATCAGTCCTCAAGCCTCGACACCCACTCTATCTGGCCGCGTTCAATGTCCGCACTCTGAAGCAAGCAGGACAACAAGCTGCTCTTGCACTCACAGTGGACTCGCTTGGCATTGATGTGTGCTGTGTCTCAGAAACGAGAATTCAAGATGCAAGCACAGTGATTGC